TAGACATTTTTGCAATACATTGTGGATGTCCACAGCTTTTTTTATTAAGTTTTCCTAAAAAAATCGAAGGCAGTTTTATGTAGTGTGATATGTTTTTTCGAGTGTGTGTGGCCAGTTTGAGTATAATCAAGTTTATTGCCGGAGCCTTAACAAGCAGCAACACGCTTGTTGTTCTCTTGATTCCTTCACCATGAGTTTTCCTTTATATTCAAAAGTGCCCTCGGGTAAAAAAAGGTGCCTTCGAGTCTGAAGGATTATCAGGTACTCTCCAAAAAACAGGTCCCTGAAGACAATTTGTACCTCGATTAAGCATTGCGGAAAAAAAAACAGAAAATTGTTGCTGCAAAGCTTTGTAATGAAGTTGACCCTTTCACATTTTCAAGACGTAGAACAACAATAATTTTCGCAATTTCCGGTGGGATAAAAGTCACTTTATGATGTCATGTTTTTTTTTTTTTTTTAATGGCCGAGTAATTGGGGGAATAGGGTTGCATTGCAGGTAGGTAGGCATTTTATTTATCCACATTACATGGATAAGTACAAGACTCGTTTAAAAGTAAACGGGCCAAATCACTATAAATCCATTACAAATCAGTTGAAACTAAAGCATTCTTATTTCATGCAAGTGTATCTTGCTTATTTACACATTTTAATGGTTGAAATGACAACGATGACTTAAAAAGGAATTCTTTCCTGTTGTTTCTATAACAGATGATTATTTCGTGATGTAGTAATGCCCAAGTAACTGCTCAAAGCACTTCACTTACAATATTTAACCTCTAGTTAATTTTTTTTTCACTAGGAACCTTCGGTACAAGAAGCATTAGAGAAAGAAGAGTTGACTGCAGAACATAAAAATGCTCTGAACAGACAACTTTGCATGTCAAAACGTGCTTTTACAAATGCTGTCCCTAATTCAAAACAAGAGCACATAGTAGTGTTGCTAGTTGGAGCTGGTCATGTAAGTTATTTATTTCCACATATAGCAAAAGGCAATTAACACTAGTAGCATTAATTTATTGGTGTCACAACAATGAAGGTTATGGTTTACTGTGACAGTTGCCTAAAATCTGATTGGCTATGGGCAAAGCATTATGATGTTTTGACGTAGTTAAGATAAACGATCACAGCTCAATTTATTATTACAACGAGATTACCATGACCATTATTAAGACACAACCTTAGTGTTGTGAGGGCACAATGGTCATGGAAAGATTGACAGTTATGTAATATTATTGTAACAACACCAATCAAAGTGTGATATGACGTTCTAATTGATATACGTTGGGTAGCTGAAGTTTCATATTTTTGACAACCTACCTTAGTTGTTGTATTACAATACAATCATTTTTCACAATAGTTTTAATGCACTCATTTTGGAAAAACAATTAAAGACAGGTTTGAAAACCTGAACAAAAAGAAAAACAAATGAAAAAGCTTTTTATACATGAAGAACAGGAAGCCCCCAAAGGAAGACCAGAAAAAAAGGGCATTCCATCCAATCATCTGCTTTCCCTGCCATTACTGAGAGGCAGCAGAAAATACTTATGAGGAACGCAAAAAAATTGTTCTTGAGTTGAGGAAATCAGTGAAGGACCACGGCCTTCTCAAATAATTGATGTGAGACGGTGAAAAGTTCTTACCCAGAACATGCGTGTGTGGGCGATTTTACAAACTTTCCTTCTATCTCAGGAAATGAGTTACAGCTTTGTTATACTGAATTAATTTAACTGATTATGCTGTGAAAGTGCTTTTTTCAGTTAGAGGCCATATCATTCGAAAAAGTGAGGCAGTTTCATCTTTTGCGATCCCATGGCAGGAAGGCATTTATGAAAGGCTTCTGAGGAGTAAAGAAGATGTTATACAACATTCATTCATTCATTCATTTACTTGAGAAGACTCATCTCTATTTTGAGCACTTACAACAGACCCCTGACATATGTTGAGAGTGACAAGGGTGGAACACAAACCTTGCTACCAAATGTATTAATGTGGGGCCAAAATGATAACGAGGTAGAGGACAATGAGATCGGTGAGGATAAAGTTACCAAGCTGCACAGACGTCTAAAGAATGTTAGAGAACATACATGGTTCCAAGAGTATGTCCAAAGAGTATGTCCACAGATTAATGGAAGCACACACAGTTGTCAGAAAGGATAAGCCTCAAATACCTGAGATCGGAGGAATTGTTTAAGTGGTAGGAGAGAATAGGAACCAAGATAAGTGAAAGAAAGCCAAAGCGGAGAGATGGAGTTGTGAAGGGAGTCGTTCTGCTACGCAAAGGAAACAGCATCCAATGTCAACTTCAGCTTGTTTGTCCTCTCGAATTACAGACTTGCAGAAAGGAACTGGCCAAGATGAACCAGAAGGGCAGCAATGAGGGAGAAAAAAAACGTGAACTTGTTAAACTTGAACTTGACGTAACCTGGCTTTCTGAATAGAGGGGAAAGGGTGCAAAAGTTAAGAACATTATTTTTTAGGCGAGCGTGACTGGAACTGTTCACTGCTGTCTATCACCGAAAGTGACTTCTAGAACTGTTACATTGAAATTGCTTTTTGATTAATAGTAGAAATTGGAGAAGCGAGATGCCAGAGTTGTTATGTGAGGATTAAGAGGGGAATGGAAGACATTTAAGAGATTAAAACATGGAATTTAACATCTACAGAGATTAAGTTTACCCCGAAGATTGGTAAAAGTGAAATATCGCTATTAACTAAGGGCTGTTGGGTAATCGAGTATACAACACCCATGAGAACAAAAGAGAATAGATGTGACCTTTTCCACTCTCATTTTTACACTGATAGAGTACATTATTCGAAACGTAATCTAACAGGTTATGACTCGATTTATTGGGAAATTCCAGGCCATTTCCCATATAATTTAGGTAACGCTGCCGCTAAACAAGGCTGCAAGGTGCCATATGTAAAGGAAGGCCTCAACATCATGGCCTACCAGAAGGGAACACTTTTAAAAAAGCCCTACAATTATGAATCTCTTTAGCTAAAGCAGATCATGATGTGGCACATTCATCGGCACTAACATCAACCAGGTGGGCCCCCAGAGAATGTTTCTAAAGATCCTTGTTCTTCCAACAGCAATGTCCTACCTGTGTTGGCAAAAATTGAGGGAGACGATGAGGCAAGGACTGACTGGAAGGTGGACGTTTCGATGGTTGATTAGTGCCTTTCAGCCGCAGAGAAGTTGACCATTATCCAGAAATTTTATCCTTTTATACACCAGATGCTTGGTTGTCTGTAGGTGTAAACATGAAGCATTCAGATCTCTTATCTAATGTGGCTAAATGTAATTTAGGCAAGGTTAATCTCGAGCTAATGCTGCAAGCGGTCTCGCACAGTTTGCACATGATCTGTGGGAGCGCCCCTTGGAGTTCGCAGGGGCAACCCACTTACAGCCTTGCTCTCTAGCGATCGTTGCGATCAGTGCTTTTGTGAGCAAATCTTTGCGGATTCATTAGCCCTTATCAGCCGTTCAGCCTGTAATTTTTTTTCCATTATGCCTTGTTCAACTCAAAACAGTCAAGCAACGCCGCTCATCAAGGTTGAATCTATGAGTTTACCATTCATTACATAACAGTTGACCAAGTTATCTGCATGGTGTCCCGTCTCGGCAGAAGGGCACTTATGGCTAAGTTTGATATCAAGGCAGCCTACCGTAATATTCCAGTCCACCCATCAGACCGGTTTCTCTTAGGATTGAAATGGCGGCAGTCCTACTATGTTGACTTGACTCTTCCATCTGGACTTCGCTCTGCCCGTTACATTTTCAACTCACTGGTGGATGTGGTTGAGCGGATCCTGGTGCATTAAGATGAGGTCTCCGATTTACTCCATTATCTCGATGATTTCATCACAGCTGGCCCCCCAGCCTCGACTCAGTGTGCTAGGAACCTCAGTACTGCTTTGGCTGTTTGCGGCCTGTTAGGCTTACCTCTTCATCCTGGAAAATATGTTGGCCCTGCCCCAGTACTTACAGTTCTGGGCATTGAACTGGATTCTGTCAATCAAGTGGCCCACCTTCCAACAGAGAAACTCCACGCTCTTCGGGAGTTGATTGCATCATGGTTAGCCCAGACATGGTGCAACAGACAGGGCTAGAGTCCATCATGCAGCAAAAGTGGTATGGCCTGGTCGCACCTTCTTACGTCGGATGATTGAAATGTTGTGCTGCTTCAGCAAGAAGGAGCACCCTATCCTATGGAGGGTTATAATGGTCAATATTGTGATGCAATTTCTGTTATTATGTAGCTCTGAATTATATTTGGTAAGCTGCCGAATTATGTTTTGACATCTTAAATTATGTTGTGATTTTCTACATTACGTTTTCCATTTTCGACTTATATCCTCCAGGCCGCCATATTACGATTTCTAAATTTCCGGCTTCTCTGAATTATGTTCGGCTGATGGACTGGGCATCGCAGTAAGAAAGCAACGAGAAACCCTGGGACAAGAAAAACTCCCACCTTTTATAATTTATGTTAATAATTACCAAGTCCGACATCTTGGTTTATATGGAATATGGCGGAGAAAGATAGAAAGAGATCGATAGATGGAGGGGACCGTGACGAAGCTGAAGATGGAGAAAGGGCAAGCAAAAGTCAAAAGGCAATAAGGCTTCTGAGAGAAGTCACGACTTTGTTGACCGAGTCGGTTAGCGAGGGGGAAGCGAAAGAGTCCCGTGAAGAGCCAAAGCGGGTGGGAGCATCATCGAACGCCATTCTAAACGACTTTTGCAACATTTTCAGCCCATACAGGATATCTCCTGTCGCGCTCACGTCCACTTTTCAACAGCCAAAACATCGATTTGTTTGGTTCTGAAGGGTCAAACCAGAGCTCCTTTAAGGGCTGAAAAATTCCAACTGCAAGCCGCTGGTTTAGGGAGGCGGAAAATTTGTTTCCACTCTAAGGCAAAATTTTCAGAGTTTCGGGAGAAATTGGAAGAGGAGTTTCCTAAACTAAAGTCAGGTGGTGGCTTTGTGCTCATGAGGACCGGTCATCAAGGGAACAGCTGCCTTGCCACAATAACACCGCCAGCAAGTGGTTGTTCTGTGCCATTTTTGAGGGACTCCTTAGGATTGGGCCAAGCCACGGCTTATATAAGACCTGTACAACGTGATTTGGATTCAACACCTGTGTCCGAGGTGAGGTTCTTATCATAAATTTCTCAGTTAATGAACTCTGGGCATTTGATCATGAAGTAAAATCTAAAATGGTCAATTTCCTAAAGAGGGTGACCGGGGGGGAGGGGTATGGATACATTTAAATCCCCACTCAGGGACAGAATACAAAATAACAGACAGTCAATAACCTCTGGAGCCAGGGTGTTATTTCATAGATCTATCAATCTATCTATACAGCATAGGAAAATTCACCTTCGTATTGAAAACTTGGCCCCAGCCACCATGTAGAAAAAACTTCTTCTGTTCCTTGAGTGAAGAACTCCCTCTGAGGGGATGATTCTTTCTTTAAATCCCTTGCCTTTGACTGCACTGCCCCCCTCGGAGTATACATCGATAGATAATAATAAAAATAATCAAATATTTTATAATAATAATGATGGAATATTTACCAAGGATAACCCTTCAGTACCAAGTCCGGTTATCAACAGGGTCCTGCTTACTAAAAAAATTTAAAAAATTAAAAATGTAATAAATAAGAATAAACAGAAATACATAATAAGGAAACATGCGCTAGGTTTAAAACGGTTAAAAACTACAATAAAAAATTACAAGTAGTAAGAAGTACTAAAGAACAAACAAAATATGTAAAAAGCAAACATGCACTAAGTTAAAAAACCGTTTAAAAACTAAAAAATTCGTAAAATTCGTCCAAGGCTTTCCTAAATAAAACTTTAGATGCCATTATGCTTACCAGGCTTTCTCAGATAACTGCAAGTAGCTTTCTGAAACCTTACCAAGCTTGCAGAAACAATGTCCAGAATGGTTTGAAAACCACCAAAAATTGTTCTTCATTATTTTACAAGTCTTATACACCATGCTTTTTAATTTTAAGGAGACTAGTGGCAATACAGTTGAAATTACTTGTTTAAACTGTGGGAAAGCAGTGGCTGTCACTCAGTGGGACCTCCATGATAGCTTGTGTCAGGGTGGTTATTCTGTTGAACAAAGCACCAGTATGGACAACTGCGTGGATTTGACAACTGGGAATGACAACATTGTCAGGGATTGTTCCACCAGTGCAACTGAGAGCTCTAGAATGGAGCCTCGTTCTACCTTCAACCCCGCAGATGACTCCATCACAAAAGTTTCCCATTGTTGCAGAGAAGATTTCAAAATCAAAGGCTGTCCAGATGCTAGTTCCTCTAAGAAAGGTAAGACTGTGTCTGGGGAAGGCAGTAATGTCCATGTATAGTTTATGACATCATTACATTGTTATTTTATTTGTTCAGCAGCTTGGGGCTGTTCAGTTCAAATCAAATACCATGTCTGATCCCAAATCCCTGTTATTTCTCAGAAACCTATAAAAGGAACTTAAGTTCAGATGGGAGACCTACTTGGTGGTGAAATGGGGCCAGGGGAAAAATTTTTTTCTTTATAGATGAATAGCAAGACATCTGAAGCACTTTTTTATTTTTAAGGTATGGATACTTTGAAGGCCTTTTTTCCGAATATAGATGAAGATGACCTTCTGCTTGCTCTGAAAGAGAGCAACTTTGACCTTGAGGAAGCAATTAGTGACATTTTGATCAAGAGTAGTCCCTTTGAACATGAAGGTGTAGTACAGTGATAATGCAATAATATTCCTTTATTAATTTTGTTGAATATGTTACTATCATGTTATGGCCTTGTTAAAACTAACAAATAGTTGCCAGTGTAGGGGACAGTGCTTCTTATTCGTCTTTCTGAGTGGAACCCTTTATCTTGGCCGCTTTGTGCTATGTGGCCTTAATCCTGTCAACACTATGCTATATGGGCAAAATGATGGCTCTTTGTCTCTAACTGAAGTTCCCTTGACCTAACAAATTTATAGTGTGGAGCACAGCTTGGGTAAGACTCAACATTTCATGGGCTTACCATTACTGATCTCCCCATTTTCTGAGGAAGACAGAAAAGGTGCCATAAAGCGTTAACAGTTTTAACAGATTGTCTATTTCCTTGTGAGATCAATAGTCAATGTTCTCAAAAAAAGCAATCAACAGCTTAGAGTGATATATCTTTCTTTCAGATGAGCCTTTCTCACCTAGCAGTGAAGTGGAAGTTACCCTTAAAAATGCTCTGCAGAAGTACCAGAAAATTGTGGATGAAGATAGATGCAAAATAATTGACGTAGACAGGGCAGTCCTCTGGAAGACAGCTCTTATATTTTATAAGAGCTCCTCAAAGGAACAGTTATATCGAAAGTTGAATGTCATGTTTGAAGGAATGGAGGATGCAGTTGATGCTGGAGCACTCAGTCTGGAATTTTTTGCTGATTTAGTAAGGACCATCGATTACAAATTGTTTGAGGGCAAACCTGACCGTCGTGTTCCACAGTATAGCTGGGAACATGTCTACCTGATAAAAATGGCCGGTGTTATGGTTGCACACTCATTGCTTCAAAAAGGCCCAGGTATGCCATGTCTAGCTCCATATGTGTATGAATACCTAGTGTCTGGTGAAAAAGAACATGCTGCCGCATATGTCAACTATGAAGACCTGCCAGAAACGTCGCAGACAGGAGTCCTTAAGGAACTTATCAAGAGGGTGAGTGCTGTAATATTGCATAATTTCCCCGTGACTCCACTTTCTCTAACAGGGCACAGTGGACTGGCCATGACATTATTGAGTCATGAGTACCTTTAAACCAGTTCTCCCACATTAAATATCAAAATATGATTTTCTTAAGGTTGAAGGTGCCCAAACTGATGAGGACATACACAAACTATGTGATGAACCCCAGTTCAGCACTGTAATTGATACATCTGGTTGGCCCATTGGTAGAGTCTTGAATGTCAAGTCTAAAGGCGACTTTGTGACATACATGCTGGTGGAAGAGCTTGTTGGTAAACGCCTTCAACTGCTCCAGAACTTTAGAGAAGGTCTGGACTACTTTGGATTGGTGGGGATGATTAAAGCAAATCCAAGTTTGTGGAAGCCATTGTATGTAACAGAGAACCCAGAACCTCTGAGTGCAGATACCTTTATGAGCCTTGTTGAGCCTCCTTCAGGTCTCGAGGAACTGCAGGCCAGAGCATATGCATTTTTTGTGGACTTTGTCAAGGGATATACAAAATGTAAAGGTTTTTACATATTATATAGTTGAAACTGCAGGTTTCTTCCTTGTTTTTAGGGCAACAGGTCAAACCAATTTTTAAACCAGATATTTATGTAGTATATTTCTTTTTTTTATATTTTTCACGAATTCCAGAGAATCTTAGATGTTAACACGGCATGCTTACTTCACCGGTTATTAACTGAAAAGGAGAAGCCTGAAGTGTTAACTATGATGAGTGTAGTACAGGAGGATTGTTTGTTTGTAGCCAAATAAAGAAAAGAATAAAGACACTGCATACATTTTTCATTTGTCTGGGCAAAAGTTCAAAATAAAAATGATTCACATTTTGGCTCTCAATGAGTTTTGAATACGTCCCTTTTCTGATAAGCCCTGCCAATCAATAAGATCCTTGGTTGCTAATTAGAGCATTTTTTAACGGCAACATACAAAATTTAATGTCCGGACAATTGCAAATTGGAATTTCTCTGCAAGTTTTCAACATATCGCTCTCAAACGTGACCAATTCGGCAATAACTGATCACAGACCTCTCTTTCCAGCGGTGTCAATGGTTCTTTGTAGCTGTTCTGTCTCTAAAAATAACTAAGATCTTAAAAGTTTACTTGATATGTCTGTGAAAAGTTCAATTTTTTTTTCAGCAAACCTTACCCAATTTATTTAACATTTCTCGCATCAGAAAATATCCCAGCACTTGGTGGAAATGTTCCATGTCTGAATCTTTTATTGAAGTTCATCACTACAAACCTTCATGTTCCACCAACCGGTGTCGAGAGAAAAATTTCCATTCAATTCTTGAAGCCCAATGAGAGATTGCCAGATGCAAAGTCCTGCTTTAGCATCCTTTTACTGCCAACAGTGCACAGCAATAAAGACGAATTTGACAGGGCCTTGCTGTCTTCTCTGCGCCATGCCTCTTGCTCCTTTGCAGCTGGTTTCTAGTTTAATTGAAACTATTATCTTATAGCTATGTTACAGTTACATATTTTCCACAGAGGAAGCCATCCAGGGCATTTGCAAGTAGAAATGTTCACGAAATGTTCACAATTAGCTGAAGAAATACAAAACTTTGCAGCTATTCCAGAAACATTTACACAAAATGTACACTATAGTTCCAGTTTTTGCATACTGTTAATTTTTGGGCTTCATATACAGCTATACATAGGAAGACCAGTTTAGTCCTTCCTGAAGTGTATTGCCTCAGTTGTGTCGGTTGCACATTCATCATTTGGTCAGCATTCACTGTGGCCTATGATAATCTTATAAGACATTAAAACATTCAATCACTCATCAATAGTTTGATATTATTGTATGTATAAATGACAGGGCTTCAAGGTAAATGTCTACACCATACTCATCACTTTCACCTAGAGGGTCAATTGAATTTGTAAGTGATGCATAATCAACTGGATGAAGGGGATTTCAGGTAATAGGAACTTCCACTGTGACATGATCATCAGTAGAGTTGTTTGGTGCAGGACAAAAATCCCAGTCGACACCATAGTATTCTCCCTGTAATAGATTAAGAATAAGGGAAAATATTGTGCTTGATGAATGGTACATGTATTTTTTCTTTACCATAATATAAAAAAGACAATATTATTATTCACCGAGCACCACAGTTTTAGAGGAGTCCAATCCCCTTACAATATTACTATTGTTATACCATAATATTGACAGCATTTGACTGAAAACTACAAAATTGTAAGAAAGGAAACTAACCTGATTCCAAAAGTCATCAATTCCTCTGTTTGAAGCAGTTACAGCACCAGAGATCCACAACTGCCAAGGGGACTTTCCATGCTCTGTAGAAATAGGGGCCCTGTTATGCCCATCAGCAAATATTTGCAGGTTCCTGTTAATTCTTGGAACATAGGCAAACTGAAGAGCAAACAGGTGAAGCTCGTTAGAGGGATCAAGTATTCCGCATTGTTCCATCTCATAAAAGAGATGATAGAAAACGTGGACACAACCAGGGAACGTCTCTCCAGAGACGTTCAATTCTCTGGCTGTGAACACTGCGGCCAGCGACATGGCTTCCCCTATTGGGAGCCCTGAGAGGATGACTCAGCATATGGCGTGCAACTTCAACATTCTCACCACCCTTGTCAGATCTTACTCTTGAGGGTAGACCAAAACTGCTAACAGCAGAAAGAAACTGGTCATATACGGTACTCGACAGATTGTCTGTGCTGCATCTTAAATAAACAATCACCCTTGAGAAGCCATCGATACCTCCATGAATCACCAGTCGCCATCTGCATGTTAAAAATAATTTAAAGCAAGCAATTATTAAATATAGTAACTCAAAATCAGGGCCCAGTTGTGTGAAACAAGGGTTAAACTGATGGGGTTAGGCCTAATTTTTCTGTAGTGTGTATGCCCTTTAAAAAGCAGCTCAGTAGTCACCACAGTACATGTTCCAGTTTCTGAAGCTGTTCGGGGGGTGTCTGGTATCCTTATCAGTGTGCTGATTATATACATGCTGAAACAGTAGGTCAGGATTTGAAAGTTTGAGCGACACAACCCTATGCAAAAGTCCCCTGCTGCCCCTCCCTGACTTTGAAATTTGGACCTACACAACCTGATCAAGGAACATTTACCTTATCAGTTTATGGTTGCCATCAATATGCCACAGGGCAAGAGGACCGCTGACTTGCTACCGTCTTCGGCGAACAGCTCGTAGCTCGAGGGCTCGAGGTAGTACACCATCAGGATTAACTCTCNGACAATTGACCTTATCGTTATCGGCGACCAACATAGCTGCAGCTTGATGAAGAAGGTTCAAAACTGTTTCTCCAGACGGAATATAGTCAACATAACGAACCACAACACTGTACAACCAATCAAGACGAAATTGTATTAAATCACCCTCACAAAACCTGCTTTGTTCTATTAAAAGGATGACGTCTTTGATGCATTTGCTTAGCTCGCTAGATGTCGCCTCGGCCGTGGCCGTTCCTTCGCCCGCCATGTTGAAAGCGAGTTGAAAGCGGGAGTTTTTCTCGTCCCAGGGTTTCTCGTTGCTTTCTTACTGCGATGCCCAGTCCATCAGCCGAACATAATTCAGAGAAGCGGGAAATTTAGAAATCGTAATTTGGCGGCCTGGAGGATTAAAGTCGAAAATGCAAAACATAATTTAGAAAATCAAACCATAATTTAGCAGGTCATATCGAACAACAGAATGTCAATATCGAAAATCATAATTCGGCGGCCTAGAGGATATAAGTCGAAAATGGAAAACATAATGTAGAAAATCACAACATAATTTAAGATGTCAAAATATAATTCGGCAGCTTACCGAATATAATTCAGAGCTACATAATAACAGAAATTGCATCACAATATTGACCCTTATAACCCTCCATACTATCCATCTAAATAAGGAGTTCCATCGCAATTGGCATTGGTGGCATCAGTTCCTGGTAGATTGGCATGGGGTCAGTTTCTGGCTTTTTCCGAGGAATACACCTACTGCACGTGTGGAAGTTTCCTCTGATGCAGGTCGTTCACTGGGCTTTGGGGCGTATTTAGAGGGGATGTGGTTTACTGGTTCCTGGATGTTCTCACAGCGAGAACAGTCCATTGCTTATAAGGAACTCTTTCCAGTAGTCATTGCTCCTCATGTTCGGGACCATCAATGGTGCAGCCGGCATGTTCTGTTTTGATCAGACAATGACAGTGTAGTGCACATCCTGAATGCCAGGACATCTAAAGTGCCATACCTTATGCATTTGCTACGTACCTCGCTACTGGCAGCTGCCCATCATAGTTTTTCGTTCTCTGCCGAACATATTCCTGGAGCAATAGGCGAGTTCATACTAGGTACATAAGTAGGCCTTAAGTATGCGGGAGATCTACTTGGAGTGTGAACGGGGTTTACTTTGGTTCAGGTACCTTACTTTGTAACCTTGGAAACGACCTATCCTCAAAGAAGCCGAAGTACGTTCTCAAGTCTAGTTTTACTGTGCTCAAGTGCGTGCTTACGCACTATCAAAACACTCAAAAGTGATAACACGTCAATCAGCTAAACGGCGGGAAAAGCTAGTGCACGCAAACCTTCTTTGCGAAGAAAAAACATGGATCACAACGGAAGCCGACATCGTTTCTTCTTACACCAACAATACCAAGTAGACAACGGCGATTCTCTGGACGTAAGCCTTGAGTGCAGTTTTATCTATTTATTAAACCAGTTTTAGAGCGCCTTTTTTGTTTCACTAGTAGCGTTTTACTATGCTAAAATCCTAATAGCTCTTTATCACAAGCATACTTTCTATTTAATAGCAACAACTTAAACCAAAGATTTGCCGGAGCAGTAAAGATTAACCAACAACAAATGCCACAGTTGCATTTTAGTGGACAGCCACTCTTTCCTTTTCCACCTAACAGCCAGACCTTCTACCGTCCTGCTGTGTTTCAACCGCTGAGCGAAAGTCCACCACAATGCAACTCTCCAATAATAACGCGGACCCCATCGCCAAGTCCTGAGACTTCAGGGAACTTGATCTGGGCCACCAAAACCAGTTCAGAGGGAAAAAAGAAATCAAAGACTTCTGACTGGACAGAAGAAGAAACTAGTGATACGCTCAAACTATGGGGGCCGAAGTACGACAAGCTCCGCAGTGCCTCCAACAAGGAAAGGGTGACGATATGGAAAGATATTTTCGTTGCATACAAGGAAAAGTACCCAGACAGCAAAAGAACTTTACCCCAGGTAAAGAAACGTATCCAGAATCTCGAATACGAGTACAAGCTTTTAAAGCAACGGTCTCAGTTGACCAGTGAAGTGGAGTTCAAGAAAATCAAAGAGGGAATTCTGTACTTTGATTTTTTAGACGACATGATGGGTCATCGCGATAGCGTTGACCTATCTAAAATGGCTATCGAAGGTTCTTCTACGTTTGCTTCCGAAGACAGCAGCAATACTTCACCTTCGCCTCAATTGCAAGAAAGCGGTAATGGCACAGAGGAAAACCTAGACAATGAATTACAAGCCGCGATGGGAATGAAACGAAAGGCAACCGATAAGTCAGCCCGCAAAGGAAAGAAGAGACATGATGAGCAGCAAACTAAGTGGCACACAAGTTTTCTTCAGCTCATGGAACGAAGCTTAGAGCAAGATAGCACACGATTTGAACGTTCCACAGAAATGCTTCGAGAATCGCAGAGGAATCAGATGGAGCAAACAAATGCAATCCTCGCAGGGTTTAAGGACATTTTCAAAGATTTGGTATCAAAGTAGATCAAGGCATGTATTTGATGTGTTACTGAAAAAGAAGACAGTTCAACTGTCTATTGCCGGTAATTCTTATTATATCTATGTATATATACCGGTAATTCTTATCATATATACATATATATATATATATTGATATAGTAGTTACTGTTAAAATTGTTATGTTGTTGCCTTCATCGGCAAGTTTATTATTGCAAAAACTTGAACTGCTTTTGTATGGCATTTTTTGCTACACAAAGCGATCGACAGCAAATAAAACCTACAGTTGGAAAATGTGGTGTTACAAGTTATCCCACACAGTCTTTTAAAGCATCTTTTACATCAGTGCCAGTTTCAAATACAATTCTCTCTTCATCGTCATCATCTGAGTCATTGTCAGAGTCACAGTCATCATCATACAAGTCACCTCTCTCAATACAGATATTATGCAAAACGCATGATGCAACAACAGTTTTCGTCAACATTGATGTTTTCTGCTCAATTTTATTCAAAACAATTCCCCACCGTGATTTTAACATGCCAAATACACGCTCCACTACACATCGTAGGGCGCTTTTGTTAAATTTTCTTTGTTCAGGAGTTAAGCGTCCCCTGTCTGGGTAAGGTTTCATAAGCCAGTTGGTAAGGGGATATGCGCTGTCTCCAGCGAGAAGAGGGCCGATTTCTACTCCATTGATATCTCTAGTTGGACCAGAAAGAATTTGTTCATTTTGTGCCATATCGTATAGTCCACTTAATCTCAGAACGCGAGCATCATGTATGCTGCCCAGATAGCCAACCGTAGCATGAGTAAATTTTAGGCTAGAATCAACTAGATCTTGAAAAAAAAAGTATCACACTATAATGCTACTTAACCCTTTACCCCCTAAGAGTGCCATATGGCACTCCTCTGTTACTGCGCCAAAATCCGAAGAGTGGCATATGGCACTGTTGTAATTGCCAAGTTCTAACCAATCAAAAGAATTGTTATTGTGGTCCTTTTGTTGCTAGAGCCCAATGACAACTGTTCCACACAAAATATGCAAGTAAATTCAGTGTGAAAATTTTCTCGCGTGTTCCGTAATGGCGGAGTCTCTGCCTTCAGATGCAAGTGATTTGGAAAGCGAGAGCACCAGCGAAATTGCAGAAAGCGGTGATGAAAGTGACATTTCCGTTTCTAGTGTTAACACAGAAAATCTCTCGGACTTAGACTTCTCAGAAGATGATGAAGAAGATGGCGAAATCGGATGGAGTCGTGATCGAGCTCCCGTAAATGTAACACCTTTCACTACGAGAGCTGGAGCTGTTAGTGGAGCTGCCAAAGATGACACCGCTAAAGATTTTTTTCAGCTCTTTATTCCCGATGAACTGTTTGACATGATCGTGGAAGAAACAAACCGTTATGCTAGACAGTGCATTGCGTGAAAGCCAGACCCAAAGTGGCAAAACACAAGCCGTGAAGAAATGCAAGCATTCTTTGGCCTTCACGAGACATCTCTGTACTGGTCCAAAGACGAAACCCTTGGGGTTGCCTTCGTAAAGAGAGTAATGCCCAGGGACCGATTTGATAAACTGACACAGTACCTTCATCTTAACAACAATGAAAATGTGATACTGCGAGGTCAACCAAATCATGACAAACTGTTCAAAGTTCGACCATTCCTCGAAGCTGTTGCAATGGTTGCCTTCAAAGGGCAATTGAGCATGAAACAATACGTTCCATTGAAACAGATAAAGAGGGGAATCAAAGTCTGGGAATGCACCGATTCATCGAACGGCTATGTTTGTATTTTCCAAGTTTATACAGGAAGACAAGATGGCGGCGTTACAGAGCACGGACTTGGCTACCGCCTTGTGCGAGAACTTAGTGAACCATTCATTGGAAAGCATCACCACATATTCTGTGACAATTTTTTCACATCTATAAAACTTGCTTGTGATTTGCTGAGAGATGACACGTACATTTGTGGAACAATTTGCTCCAATTGCCGAGGCTTTCCAAATAGTTTGTCACCACAAACAGCCGAAGTGAAAGGCTTACGAAAGGGTGAATCAAAATTTTATCGTAGCGGAAACCTGGTTGCATCAGTTTGGAAAGACACTAAGCTAGTTTGTTTTCTGAGCGCTCAATCGAATCCAGTTGGCGACCAAACAGTGAACAGGAAACAACGTGATGGAACTGTTATTCAAGTTCCCACCGTCCCTGCCGCCTTTTCTTACAACAAGAACATGGGAGGTGTTGACTTGAACGACCAGCAAAGAAATTATTATGCCGTGGGCCGCAAGTCGCGCAAGTGGTGGCGTTATTTGTTGTGGTTTCTCGTCGATGTGTGCATTGTCAATGCTCACATTTTGGAAACTGAAGCGGAAAATCATCGCACTAGACCACAACTGCAGTTTTGCGTTGAGTTGGCAAAGACACTTGTCGGGGAATTTAGTTCGCATTCACTTAGTGTTTCGGAAGGGCGCTTGACTGATGGACACTGGCCTGTAGAAACCTCTAAAGGGCGCTGCAAGCGTTGCTTAAAGCGTAAGCGAACAAAGTGGTGCCGAATGGCTTGTACGGCTTGTGCGAAACGCATTTGCCTTGAGTGCTTTACAAATCACTCCGAGGCTGATTTGAGACAGTGGCGCGAAATTTGAATTTCACGATCGATGTATTTTGCATTCAAACTTTGTCAATTTGTTCTTGGAAAACCAGCTGGCATTATTCAGGTAATGAAATTGAAATGTAAGTTAAAGTTTTGTAGTTTTTGACTTCTTGAACGTAAATATTTACTGTAAATAGAATGCTTTTATCTTCTGTAGAAGAAATCATGGTGGTTGAAACGAGACAGAAACAAATGTTCACAAATTGAGTTTATTTTCTTGTTAGTGACTGTCAATATTGAAATGTATCTTTCTTATCAGAATTAAATACCTCATTGATTTTGCTACAACTTTTGTCTACATTATATGTCTGAGTAGTGCTTAGTTTTGGCTATAGAGAACTTTTTCTGAAGGCTCCTCAGATCACTCAATTATGGCCAAAAGCCCTCAGGGAAGAGGATACATGTCCCTATTATCTCCCTTAGGGGGGAAAGGGTTAAGATTATAATAATCCTCGGAGGAGCATTTCTCTCTATGTGGCAACCATCTATGGCTCCCACAATTTGAGGTATGCCATACGTTTCTTCAAACTCGTCAATCTCATCTGTAATTTCCTGTCTTGTCAAGGGAAATTTTATGAATTGATCCTTCATTTGAAGAAGAGCGTGCTCGAATTCACTGCAGATATATTTCGCTGTTGACTTTCCATATCCAAATTGTAACCCACAGCTTCCATAACTGTTTGCGGTTGCAAGTCTCCATAATGCTAAACCAACCCTTTATACACTAATCGGCGCTCGCACCTGTGTCTGTTGTTTTTGTAGATCTGTTCTTACAAGGTCACAAAGGTATTCAAATGTTTCATGAGTGACACGAAAATGCTCCTTCCAAAGAAAATGCAGTGCTGGATTAGCTATTAGAAGGCGAAACCAGTTCTGTGGTCGAGGCCAAACCCAAGCTCTTCTTCTCAGTTGTGGTCTTTGTTGCTGTGAAAGTCCTGCCATAAGCAACACCAGACAATTTCTCCGGCTAATGCTAAAGGCTTCCTCCATCAACACAAAGCAATACATTTGTTGAAGCACGAAAGACCCGTCGCAAGAGTGGAAAAGTAAAAATCAAAATAAGGCATGCTATTCCAACGTTCCGAGGTCGCATGGTGAAAGTTTGAGTGTCTTGTTATTTGCTTTGGCAGGTTTTGCCACGTAGTTTGATTGACAAGTGATCCAGCAAGTAGCATACTTCACAGATTAGTATGAACGCTTATCTTTAAAAGTGAGCATTGGCCGTCTCAAGTTCACTTGAGTTTTTATGGTACTTAAGGCCTACTTGGGCCCTAGTGTGAACTCGCCTAATAATTCGATAGCTGATGCCCTTTCTTGCTTTCACTGGCAGGACTTTCACCGTTTGACCCAGAGGCTCGTCCTCATCCATCTCCCATTCCACTGCAGCTGTTGCAGGACCTCATCTCCCTACTTCAGAAGCACAGTGCTATTCCTTTTTGGCTCAGGGTCTAGCAGCATCTACCCGCAAGTCATATGCTACAGCTCTGTCCCAGTTCTTGTCCTTCTGCTGTCAGTTAGGCAGGATCTACTCGTCTGGGTCTCCTTGCCCAGCAGATGAATGGACGCTGTGCTCGTTTGCTACGTTTTTGGCTGGTTCTCTTCAGCACTCTTCCATCAAAGTGTATCTCTTTGGTATGAGAGCCCTTCATATCAAACAAGGTTTTGCTGATCCTCTTCGCAACTGTCTTCGCTTGCAGTGTGTTATACGCAGCATTAAACGCACTCAGGGCTCCCCCTCATCTAGTCGTTTGCCTATTACAGATGACCTTATTCTAGTCATTTGGAAGTCTTTAAACTTGCAGCTCCCTGATCATTCTATGTTTTGGGCGGGATGCATGCTGGGGCATTTTGGGTTCTACGGTCCGCGGAATTCAGTCCCTTCTTCGCAAGTTTCTCCCCCTTGGTTCATTTGGATGTGTAGGATATCACAGTGGACTCCAGTACAGATCCCTCATGCATCCCCGTCACTATCAAGGCCTCAAAGACGGATCCGTTCCGCAAGGGCTGCTCCATTTATATTGGCCTTGGCAAGAATCCCCTATACGCTGTTCATACGTTGCTGGCTTACTTGGCTATCTGTGGTGATGGGCCGGCCCTCTGTTTCTTTGTCAAAACGGGCAACCTCTCTCGCATACTCTACTCTCCAACTGGCATTGGCAAATTATGGCCACTGCAGGAATTTCTGGTAATTTGTCAAGCCACAGCTTCCGAATAGGTGCAATTCTCAACCAGGTTCTGCTAAGCTATGCAACTACAGATGAACTGGTCTGGCTATCTAATACCAAGTGAAAGCCATCCAGGATAGTGAAGGCAGTCAACAGCACAGAGACAAGAGAGTCATTGGATTGACTCCAGTAATGATGACTCTCACTCAGT